AAGATACCACCAAGACTGAAAACCCTCCATTTTGAAGACCTTCTCCTCCATCCTACACTACCCCCCCAATTTGAGGGCCCTAAACCCTGCCTGAACAGCTCCAGATACCTCCAAACCCCTATTTGTGTACCACTACTACTGTACTACTACTGTTACTACTGTACTACTTACTACTGTACTACTATTGTACTACTACTGTACTACTACTGTACTAGAACTGTACTACTACTCTACTACTACTCTACTACTACTGTACTAATCCTGTACTACTACTGTACTACTACTCTTCTACTACTCTACTACCCTACTACTACTGTACTACTACTGTACTACTACTGTACTACTATTGTACTACTACTGTACTACTACTGTACTACCACTGTACTACTACTCTACTACTACTGTACTACTACTCACTACTACTTTACTACTATTGTACTACTACTGTACTACTACTAACTGCTACTGTACTACTACTGTACTACTCCTGTACTACTACTCTACTACCACTGCACTACTACTGTACTACTACTGTACTACTACTGTACTACTACTGTACTACTACTGCACTACTACTGCATTACTACTGTACTACTACTGTACTATTACTGTACTACTATTGTACTACTACTGTACTACTGTACTGCTGTATTAATACATTAATACTTTTGTGCTACTGCTATCCTGCTACTGTCCTACTACTGTATTACCACTGTAAAGAGCTTATCTCCCAGCCCAAGCCCCGGGCAGCCGCGCATCCGCGGAGCACCCCAAACCCCTCGGCCCCCCAATTCCACCCAGATCCTGAGCCAGCCCCCAAACTCCGGGACTCTTCAATTCCCTTCTAACCCACCCAGAGGCGCCCCCGGTCCCACACTATTCAAGCCAACTTTTTTGGTCGGGGGGAGGGGGGTCCACTACACGCGCCGCTACATTATCCCAATCCACGTTCCAACTTTCGAGGGGTTGACTATATGAGGCGTTCATGCTAAACGCTTATTTCGTGGGTAGGCATTTGTGCTGTGAACTTCCATGTTTATTCGGTGAGCGTCACTGTGTGGGTGCTCGCAGAAATCCGTCAAGTTGTCGGGCTGGCTGGAGATCAAAATGCGGAGTTTGGAATCCTCTCTCAGGTCGTCTTTGTGAAAGTCCCAGTCTATGACTGAGGGACTGAGGCTCAGAACACTGTCACTCCAAGCCCAGGGGATGGAGGCCGTGTCATGTCCTTGCTACTACTACTACTACTACTACTACTACTACCACTTTTCTACGACGAGGACCAGTCGATTCCACCCTTAGTTTCAATCTGCCACAGCCACGACACGCTTGAAGTTTCGGTTTTTCAGAAAACGCGGACCAATTTCGGACCTTGGATGTGGAATAATTGTTATGCAAAACCGCTAAATAATGTATACCTGGCGCTTGTTTTCTGAAACACACAATTGAGCAGCAAAGGTCAGCGGATGTCCAGTTCTCGAAGAGCCCTATGAGGGTTCTGTGGAAAGAGCTCGACTCCTGGTGTGCGGAGGTTCTCGATTTTGCGGGGTCCTTTTTCTCTGAGGGGGGAGGGAGAGGGGGGCGGGGGTGATAATCTAATTGTCTAGGGTTCAAGACGAGCTTAGTGTTTCGGACGTGCCGTTGTAGGTGCTCAGCCAGAAGCCATCTCCTCCATGCTTGTCATGCAGCAGCTTTTGCAAAGCAAGCTTCAAGTTCCTTGTTACGTCGTTCGGCATGCGGCAGAGATCGGGCTGTCGAAGAAAGCCACACGGCTAGTGGTTGTCCTTACCCAAGGGCTCTTTGCCGAAGAGGAATTCGCTGAACTTGTCCGTTCTACGGATATGGACAACTGGGCAAAAGTGGTTGTCAATGATGGTTCCTTCGATTTCCCTACGCCCAACGTCTATCGGGACCTGCAGTGTCCAGATCTTTCGGCTGCATACAAGAGCCTGTGTAGCTCTTTGGCGCTGCCGTTTACACCGCATCTCTCTGAAACACTCCTGCACCAGCAGATGGAGCATATTTGCACAAGGCCCAAAGGGTTCAAATAACAGTATGGTACATTGCTGGGTTCAAAGATTTACAACGTATCTACCATAGCGGTACCTGGACCACTTGGAAGGACCATGTTTTCAATCAGCACACAGGCATCTAATCTCAGGCACAGTGATCAGGGGGATATTTTTCCGGTGGTAGACTACCCGTGGTCTTCATCGTAGTACCTTTTTGGGGGTTACCTTGTAGGATCCTAGGTATGTATATATATATATATACACACACACTTTAGGCGGGCTACCTCATGGGATCATAAATGTGTACTTCTTTGGGTTTCCGTATAGAATCATCAATCTCGAGTTCGGCAACCAAAGAAGGAACTACCATGGCGAAGGCTGTGCCCAGAGACTCCAAGATCCCTGCAATAAGGATTGTACCTTAAATCATTTTAGGGATCCTACTATAAGTTAAGGCATATTCCTTAATTAAGGGATATTGGAGTCTCTGGGTTACTTAAACCCTAAACCCTAATCCCCAAACATAAACCCTAATCCCTAATCCTCAAACCTCAAACCTTAAGTTAAGACATATTCTTTAATTCAGGGATATTGGAGTCTATGGGTGGAGTTCTTTCCGGATTCTTGAGCTCAGAACCTGGTAGCAGTACTCCCGTGTCTATCCCCCCAAGTTCCAGGTTCAGGATAGGTGCTTCGCTGTGTAGAAAGGACCGGAGGAGCGCCATCGGAAAGGAAAGGAGATTTCCGTTCGATGCCTACCATGAGCGTCAAGTATGCACGAACATGCGCTACAGCCCGAGTCTTCACGAAGGATCTAGGCTTCAGGTCAAAAGGCAATTATTCCACACGTGGCCTGTGTGCACCTCGAAGGGCGGGGGCGTGGTGGGGGGGGAGGGCGGGGATGCCTGCTTATCTTGCATCTAAACCAATCTAGTCTTCGAGAGCGAGCAATCAGAAGAGGCTGGAAGGCCTGAATCCACATCCCGTAGGCTTTGGACTTGTAAAACTCTAAACCTAAGCAGCACCAACACGTCAACAGCTCAGACCAAAAGGCTGTTACAAACTATGTCGGGTAGTGCGCGGTAGCTTCATTTTTTTTTGGGAATTGTGGCATTCTACACTTGGACCCCAGAAGGAACTCTAGAAATGAGAACCACCCGTTTTCTCTCAGGCTGACTCAGTGGTCGATGTTCGTCATGGACAGCTTCATCTCCCCCTGTCGGCAGGCATTGTTCCAAAACCCTGTAGCTCACTTGACGCTTCTGGCTTTTAAACGAAGGCCTCAACCTTCAGTTGGAAGTCTGAAACGTAAAGCCCTGAACCCGAAACCTCCGAAGTATGGAGTCTGGCCGCAGAAACAGCGAAGCAAGAAGAGTTTAGAGTCATGTTGGGTTCAGGGTTTATTCAATATGGGAGCCCGGAGAATGAGTACTAGTTTCCATCTTTCCTCCCTACAGACTTTGCCCGTAAACCCGAGTCCCAGTACTCTCCCGCAGCGCATCCAGACCGAAACCGCCGTATCATTTAGGGTGTACCTGAAGCTGTTGTAACTACTGTTCATAGGGTCTTATCGTACATGCAAACAAAGATCTAAACCGCATGGTGCCATAAAGAGTATAGTGATGGTACTACGCCAGAGAAACAGCCGTAAAGGCCATAAAGCCGATTCAGAAGCGAGTTCGGTGTCCGTGCTAGTGTTCCAAGCTTTGCTAGGGTTCAGGGAGTTCAGGATTTAGAGCAGTGGAATAGAAAGCAGCGTGCCTGTGAGGACGGAAAGTTCAGTTGATGGCAACTAACCTTTGGCTGCCCTACACCATAAACCACCCAAAAAGATGGTCGTTAACCGCGGTTCGGTCAATAAGGATTCAACACTTTCACGTTCCAGACTACGCGTAGGAATTGCTTGGATCGAGTTGGTTTCCCCGTAAGATACCCTCTATCATAAAGATAGACCCAAAAGTGGTAATGGCTGCGTTTTGCGACCCAAGAACGGGGCATCGCTTAGAACAGCCCGCCTCAGGCATCCTTGCACGTTTGCTAGTGAGTGGTTTCTGCCGGCTGTGTGCCTCCGACCTACCACATCGCTGAATCTTAAAAAATGATCGCACACCAGGACATGTCCCAAAACTTCAACCCGATCTCACACCATGACCCCAAAACCCTAAGCCCGTGGGTGCCATAGAAACCGTACGCCCGCGGAGCAGCGAGCGATCCTTGAGATCGTTCAGAAATCGAAATTGAACCCCAAAACCCACCCACCCACAGACCCACCCAAGCAAAAGCAAAAGCATCGTCCCTAAACCTGAACTCTCCCCTCCCCCGCCCGCCCTGCCAAACCCAAAAAACCTGTACTGTAAACAAATAAAACGTAGTCCGCAGAGGCGGAGGTCATCCAGGGCCCCCGTGCCCCTTGGTCTGAAAGGTGCCCTTTATCCTGGTGATCTTCGGTTGATTTCCTGAAATGAGTCCCACTTTCTGTGGGATCCCTGCATTTTGGAAGTTGACGGACTAGGTTCAGCTACTTCAGGGTGGTTTCGGGCTGCGGGGCTTCAAACAGTGTTAGTCTCTTGTGCCGCTTGCTGCCTTATCCAGCCTTCGACGCGATTCCGCGATTCGAGACCAGATCTGTAGCAACGCCGGCTTCCTCAAACCCGAAGCTCCACACATACACCTGAAAGCACAAGCTTAGGACTCGTGATAGACCTGCTTTTTTTTGAGGGTCCTTGAAGCCTTACACAAACAACTAGAACTTCTCTGGGCTCTTCCGTATAGCTTCTGGTTGGTTAAACAAGATACAACAAACTCAGTGGATCCTGGATGCATTGATTTCCGTGCTGAGGCCGCACCCAGCATTCTAAAGGCCAAGCTTGATACTTACAAAGGTCGTGGTGCCGTAGGGTTCAGGGTTGAGGCTTCTGAAGGTCCCTCAAAAACCAACAGCGTGCATCAGAAGTATGGGTTTCATGAACTTCTGAAACTCATCTGGCCTGAATAATTCGAGTAGGGTGTGGTGGTGAGGATGTTGCGGGTTGTAAAGGACCACGACTTCCATGTTGTCCAACCCCTAAAATACGTAGTTACAGCAGACTGCGGCCATGCAAACTTAGTCTGATTGCTGTAGATGCCTCGATTGAGTCAGGAGGCCCGCATCGCAACCAGGCTCCTTCAAAACTCGAATCCTCAAGCCTACCCCGCATGGAAACCCGATTATAGAGCTCGTGCAGAATCCTTCGAAAGACCTTTTTTGAGCCTGCCTTAGACCCCCCAGCTTCATTGTTTGTAGAGCCAAGGATCACTGTCCACCGTTCTGGGCATCTGATACCAGCTTGCAAAGAGGGTGATCCTAGACCCCGCATGCTTGGCTCCTCTTTCGCTTGCCTCATTCTCGCTTGACTCAAGGAACATGCCCCTAGAGCAGATTACCCCAATAGAGGTACACCATACACAGTCTGGATACTCGAGTCTTGTTGCCTTGAGTCGTTCATGAGCATCGAAGCATGTTTGTCACAGCATGCTTCAGGGTTTATAGCCCGGGGATGCGGGCTTGGGTTATATTGCTGCTTCAAGTCCGAGTACCGACCAACCACCGAGATTCAAACCTTAGATGGCTCGTTGCGAGAAGTACCTTGAGTGGGCGTCAAGAAGATGCGGGGTTCGCCGGTAGATCCCAAGGTTTTTGGGTGCCTGGAACGACCGTAAGCGCCCCAAACCCCGGGCCGGAAACCCAAACCCTGACCTTGAACCCCAAATACACCGGTCCTCAGCCCAAACTTCATGGAAGCACGAACAGTTTCATGCACAGGCGGGTCTTAAATCAGGTCGCAGCCCCAAGCAGGAGAGGGAGGGAGAGAGAGAGAGAGAGAGAGAGAAATGGAGACTGAAAAAGGCAAAAAAGAGCGGCAAACAGCAGTCTGTGCGATAAGAGCGCTTTTACCTTTGCCTGCGGAGTGGACGCCGTACCGAGCCCCAGTCCACATTTCGGAATTTGTGTCAGAGCAGCTGGTAGACTCCGCTACAGATCCACCCAAGGCCCAATGCAAGACCTTCTCACTTAGCCGCCGAAAGTGCTTTACACTTTTTGGGAGTTGCTATATTTGAAGCCTAGACCCTGCACTACACTCTCTTGGGTTTGGCTACTTACTGAACAAGCCTCCATCTTAGGATCGTCCCAAGCTGAAAATCCGACATCAAGAACCACACGTTTGGCTTAAGCCCTGCATCCAGAACCACGTTTCCTCTAAACTTTGCCAGGGTCCGGCTTCTAGGGTTAAACAGTGCAGCTTACATAGCTCCTGGTTGTTGCATGTCGGCCTCAGTCAAGATGATTGGGGTATGAAGACTGACTAGACTTGAGGCCAGTAGCCCAGTAAGAGCAAAGGTTAGAAACCCTGGTGAAACAATGCAGGGGAACAAGCAAAAGCAATGTCCAAAGCAGTCTAAATCTGTTTCAGAAACTCAGTGATGGCCCTAAGCCTTATCCTTTACCCTAATCGCAACGCACCCCCCACACTAAACTCCCCAAGCCCTTTCCGCCCCCGACAAAAGCACCAAATCTGACCCAGGAAATCAGCGGCGCCCCGTATGCGAAAGACTTTGATCCGGCTCTTCGCTTGCCGTCTCTGGTCCCTGGCCCGCGAGGGCCTCGCAGGCGGCCCTGAACCTCTTGACCAGTTTAGGGGTTCAAGGGTTTATAGGGTTTTAGGGGTTTAGGGTTTTAGGGGTTTAGGGTTTTAGGGGTTTAGGGGTTTAGGTTTTGAGGGTTTAGGGTTTAAGGGTTTATTGGTTTAGGAGTTTAGGGTTTAGGGGTTTAGGGTTTAGGGTTTCCCTACACCTCACCGACGGCACCGGATCGTTTTTTCGAAACCCATGCAAGTCAAAAAGCCATGCAAGCCCTGAGATGTCAAACGAAGATGCTGTCGACCTTGCAAGCTCAAGACCATGAGTAGCTCCAAGGTTTCAAACCCAAAATCTACAGCCCCCTAAACCCTAAACCCTAAACCCCTAAACCCTAAACCCCTAAACCCTGAACCCCTAAACCC